AGTCGAGATGTACTCTGTATTTGCTGATGCTTTCGGAAACTGTGACCATGGAACCAACGAACATTCGGTCAGTCTAGATGTTGCTGCGGCTCTCAGGGCTCAAGGCGTTACAGATGTATTTGTTGTGGGCTTGGCTGGGGATTATTGTGTCAAGGCTACAGCTCTTGATGCTGCGAAGGTTGGATTCAAAAGCTGGGTTGTCGAGGAGGGCACAAGATGTGTCGTGCCTGCTGCTTGGGATTCTGTTAAGGAAGAACTTGAGACTGCGGGGGTGTCTATTATCTCTATGGACGACCCCATCATCAAGGATCTGGGAGGGAAGAGTTGATATGTCTTATTTCTCTCATCTTGCTTTTACCACGCAGTCTTCCCTTCCAAGTGTTCCTTTTTCCGTGTCTTGTGTCTAATATGGATTCAAGTTCTATGCTACCGGCCCTAGATATCTATTGTGTAGATATTATGAAAGTGCTATAGATAGACACTGTATTTTCACGTGAATGTGTTACTATACCCTGTGTGGCGGTATTCTCCATTCTTCATTTCCACAGTCTGTGTCAAATTGGAGAGCACAAACCACCGATATGTATACTTGAAACAATTCCAATGTCCGTAATCAGTCAGTACAATAAGATCGCCGGTGGGTACATGATCGACAAGCAACTGCCAGAAACGTCTTGACTTCATACCCCCTTTCCGCACTACTGCAGAGTGACGTCGTGTCAAGGGGGAGATTCACCACTCAGCATACAACATAGAATATCATATTTCACTACAGGCCGAACTAGATCAGTCCAAAACTCAATCTACTCGCAATGCTGCACTCCAGGCGGCCATCAATACCCGCCCCAATCGGTACCCTCGACGAGAAATCGACCGACACCGATGAGGCAGCCCTACACTTCCACGATCACAGCCAAGCCTCTGAAAGTCTCCCATATTGGCTCGTCAATTTACCTCGGTCGCAATGGACTGCCGAGTGTCCTGGCTTTCTACGTGACCAATCTCCGAAGAATATACAATGCCTCTCAATCCCTGATTACCGGTATACCCGACAGAGCTGGGAGGAAGTGAAGGAGATCATAGGTACAGCTGCTGGTTGGGTGATTAGTGATATACTTAACTAACTACAACTTGTATAGGAACCAACCGGATCGACCGGTTCCAGCGGGTCCCAGGCGAGCTGCGCAAGTATCTGGAATACATGGCGCATATCAAAGCGGAGTATACATCCGTGATGAGATTTGTGGTCAAGGAAAGGCTGGGCTGGGGGGATAATTGGGAAGAGATCAAGCCTAGAGGTGGCCCTTTCGAATACGAGGGTATGGCGCAGGTCACCGGGTCTAGAACACGTGAAATACTAATTATCTGTATAGAGGATATCCGAATCATATACAATGACTGGCCATATGGTGTTGCCAAGGATATCATCCACTTGGTAGTGTGGACCAAATTCGAGCTGGAAGATGACCCAACCACAGATGACCTAATGGCAAGCACACGAGCGGCCATAGAGAGCTATGTGCAGGACACATTTTGCTCTCGGGTACCACCCGAACAGGTATGGGGGCTAGTCAGCATGAAGATGATGAAAGGCTGACAACATAGGTGGTCTGGTTCAAGAACTGGAAGTCACTCAAGTCGGTCCCCGGGATTGAACACTTCCACGTCATGCTCCATCGTCCCGATATGGCATTTGTCAGGGAGATCACCCGCGGAGATGTACCTCTGATTGAACGGCTATGATGTCTGTGTCTGTGGATTAGAGAAGGGAGAGAAGAGAGAGAAGATAGAGGGAAAAGGAAGAGAAAAGAAAGATTCTCCTTTCCTTGGGTATAACTTAGGTACCAAGCATAAGATACATATGCAGCCCAAGGAACGGGTACATCCTGTAGTCCCCGCCAAGCCAGATGCCCCTCACTGACGATCTTGGGGGTTGAGTGTATTCATCTTGAAGGAGAGGTGAGAAAAATACGTCACTAGCCCTAAGCATTTGCATGTGTAATTTGCATTTCGCATATCTTTTTGGATATCTTTTTGTGTAATTTTTAGTGTCGTTCTTAGTGTCTTTTTCGATTTTTTCCCTTTGAACTACGCAAATCCGTTTTTTTTGCCCTTTTTCCACTTCTCCATAGTAAAAAAAAGCCCGTTCCCGAAATTTCCGCCCCAAGTCAGCTGTCTTGGGTTTCAGACGTTCTCTTTTTGTGTTTTGGTTCTCTGGTTCTTCTTTATATTTTCATAAATGTTTGAAAGCTTAAAGGGCATTTCGTATAATTCACTTCCGAACGCAGCCATGCCTGTCCCGCATCTCCGCCGTACCTCCCAGGCCAGTGAGTTTGACCCTCGCCTCTTATCCCTTTGTCATACATTCAATACATTCAAAGCATTTCAACATGGCAATCAGCATGGCAACTAACGCCAATCTAGGCAGATCATCTATAGAAGATTCTCCGGCAAGTGGGGAGGATGAGGTGGTTGAGCCAGAGCAGGGAAATAGTGCGTCCAAACCCTCGATACCCCCCAGACACACAACTGACTTGATATGCCTGGGCAGTTCTTTCACATATCATTTCTCAGCTGCGGCCTGGCGCCGACCTGAGTCGGGTCGTCTTGCCGACATTCATCCTCGAGCCTCGGTCTATGCTAGAGCGGATCACCAAGTGCGTTCACACCCCGCTCCAAGCAGGCAGCTTGGAGCTACCTAATATTCGGATATATCGATTAACACAACGGTCTTAATAGCTTCATGGCGCACCCTGAAACGCTCCTCCCGATGTCGGAGATTGAGGACCCGGTCGAGCGCTTTGTCTCCGTGGTCAGATTTTACCTGAGTGGATGGCACATCAAACCACAGTATGTCGCCCGCTAGCTGTTTGTCTAGGAACACATACTAATACCTACATAGAGGAGTGAAGAAGCCGCTCAACCCCATTCTTGGAGAGACTTTCACCTGCTACTGGGACTATCCCGACGGAACCCGCGCCTACTACATCTCCGAACAGACCTCCCACCACCCGCCAAAGTCGAGCTATTTCTTCGCAGCGCCGGACCATAAGATTCGCATTGATGGAACACTCAAGCCCCGCAGCAAGTTTTTGGGCAACTCCGCGGCCAGTATTATGGAAGGTATTGCCATTTTGCGCCTGATGAGCCACGGGGATAAAGAAAAGGGTGAACGATAGTATGTTGCGCCGCTTTCTACGGACTTTCAGTCACTAACCAAAACCAGTATTCTAACCCAACCCAATATGTATGCGCGCGGCATTCTATTCGGAAAAATGAAGTATGAGCTTGGCGATCACAGCTACGTGCGTTGTCCCGAGAACCACCTCGTGGCCGATATCGAGTTCAAGACCAAGGGATATTTCTCCGGCACTTATAACGCAATTGGGGGAACTATCAAGAATGAAAAGACCGGGGAGGTGTTATATGAACTCTCCGGATTGTGGAATGGGGAGATGTATTTGAAAGATGTCCATGTACGCTCCCCCTACCTCCGAGGTTTCTTCCCGATTCAACGCTGACCCAGAGCAGACCCACAAACAAGACGTTTTGTTCGACGCGAGGCACGCGAAGCATTCACCTCCTTTGGTCCGCCCCATAGACCAGCAAGGAGACCGGGAATCGCAGCGGCTATGGCACAATACGGTTGAAGCGATTGTGGCCCGGAACCATATACTTGCAACGGACGAAAAGACCAAGATCGAAGACCGCCAACGAGACGAGACCGCGAAGCGCGCCGACGAGGGAATCGACTGGCACCCTCGCCTTTTCCGTGCCGTCCAAGGCGGCCCTGGTGGCCCGGATGAAGGCGAAGAAGACCTCGACTGGATAATCAATGCTCAAATGTAAGCACGAATGCTCCAACAGTCAACACAATAACTGACAGTCCCAGCGACATGCAAAATCCCCAGGTCGCCACCGAGCAGATACTATCCATCGTTCCCATCGTCCAAGGTCAGAAGGAGTCATCCCAATTTCAAATACCGCCGCATCATCCCCACCCTATCGCTCCCTCGAACTAGGATATCAGGCATATCCCTCCACAACCAGCTAATGCCGCACCCGCAGACTCCGAGACGAAAACCACTGTCCACCAGAGCATCGTGGAACGGAAAGATAGTCAAACATCAGAAGAGGAGCAGTTTGTAGACGCCCAGGAAACCTCCTAAGTCAGCCCCCAACCATTGCGTCCGACTCCCAACCCCCGGGCCCCCAATCCATGCTATCACCGACCCAATCCAACTTGGTCGGTTGCGAAGGTCGCCTTTTTTCTCTCACTCTCACATCTGAATGATCCCGGAGTATTGTCACACTCCCTTTCTTCCTCTCTTCCTCTCTTCCTATCTCCCTATCTTCCTATCTTCCTCTCATTCTGCCATGACGTAGTCAACCTGCGCAGAAATACCCAGCACAACCACAACTCGAGGCGACGGCACGACCCATTGTGATAGCCCTCTCTGCCCCTCTGATGTTTCAACACAGCGTTTTTCTCGGTCATCATGCCGCTCCTATTGCTGGATACCCGATCTGATTTTATTTAAAAATTCAAAAATTTTCAAAATCATACATCTCAACTGAACATGGGCACATCTCTAAGGGAGATGGAAGAGGTACGTAGCAAGGTTTCAATGCAGCATAAGGGAGATGTGGAACAATAGAACAAGCAAGAGTCACGGGAATCTGAAAGGGATTTTATACACTTAGAACCTGGAATCTTGAACCTCTGATAAATCTCCCCGTTTACTCTAGGATTCTTGCCTCTCTTGTTCAAGTCCGTAGTATTGACTGATCGATTAAATTTGCGTCTTCTCTGTCCGTTACTATACAAAGCTCTCCTAGAAGAGAGGGATATCACAATAGATGGCAACCACCCATGCCACCAAATATTACCATACAAAGACAACCGAAACTCCCCTCCGTTATCCGAATACATACAAAACGCCGCGTCAAACCATTCTTTTGTCCTGGGAGGACCTGCCGTAAAGCCGCACTGGGAAAGCTCATGAATACAGTTCCCCCCTGGATCCAGCCCCACGCTCTAGATCCCGCCGCCGATTAGGCCGCGGGATAGCACCAGCAGAGCCAGTATAGGCCAAGCCAGAACCAGCCGCCGCCGCTGATGCAGCAGACATCGACCCACCACCCTCATATTCCTCCATCTCCTCCTCAACCCGAAGGGTCTCCTCCTCAATCTCCTTCTCGGTATCCTCACGCAAACCCAATATATCCGGTGGGATAAAGCTCATCTGGACACTAGGCGCACCCTTGATGTACCTCAGCTGCTCATGGACCGCCTCGACAAGGCCCTCCAGGTACGCGCGAGGATTCTTATTATCAAGCTTGCGCATCTCCGACAGGGGCGGGAAGAGCGAGAAATCAGGACCGAAGTGGTTACGGAAGGCGACAGATTCCGGGATCACGGGGTCGATCATGTTTTCTGCCTCGAGCAAAATCGAGGTCTCGTGCGCCCACGCGCGCGAGACGTTGCGCGGGGTATAGCCGCCGCCGCCAACGACCATCATGGGCAGCTTGAAGGTCTTGGCGTATGCGACACAGGCGCCGTGCGCGCGCACGTTCAGGTTGAAGCAGCCTAGTCGGTCGCAGCCCAGACTATCGGCGCCGCATTGTAGAACGATTGCGCCTGGTTGGTAGGTTTTCATACATGCGCCGATTACCTCTTTGAAGAGTGCTATGTAGGACTCGTCGTCGATGCCGTCGTTGAGCGGGACGTTGATGGCGTGGTGGGCGCCTGGGTTGAGTGGGTGTGCGGGGCCTGTGTCCTCGCGTGCACCGGTACCCGGGAAGAAGTTGTCTTTGTCGTATTTGTGGAAGGAAACTGTGAGCACGCGGTCGGTTGACCAGAAGGCTTGCTCGACGCCGTCGCCGTGGTGTACGTCGATGTCGATGTACATGACGCGCGGGTGGTGGCGGAGGAGCTGGAGTGTGCCCAGGACGATATCGTTAACGTAGCAGAAGCCGCTGGCTTCGGCCTTTTTGGCGTGATGGAGGCCGCCGGACCAGTTGATTGCGATGTCGGATTGGTTGTTGCAGAGCTTGCGCGCGGCGTCGACAGTGCCGCCGGCGTATAGCGAGCTGTAGCTGTACAGCCCGTCGAAGATGGGGCAGTCGTCGCCGAAATTGAAGCGCACCACGTTATCTGCTTGTTCGGGGTTGTCCATGTCGCCGGGAATGATCTGTTGGAGGAAGTCGAGGTAGTCTCTCTCATGGAAGTCGGCCATTTCCTCGTAGGTCGCTGCGCGCGCGAGATACAGATCCATGGCGTGGTGCATACCGTATGCCATGACGAGCTGTTTAGTGAGGGTGAGGCGCCATGGCTTCATTGGATGTGACTGGCCGAAGTGGTAAGGCTCGACGGCTGGATTGGCGTGCCATGATACCCGATAACCTTGTGGACGAGCTATTTGTAGGTTTTGAAGCTCGGCGAGGGACTTGTAGTCGACGGTGAGGGTCGGGGCGGGCGGTGCATATTCTTGAACGACGGAGGAGCGAGCCATCGAGGTAGTATTTGGGAAACGACAGAGGATCAAAGGATTGGCGCTAAGTTCATTTTAGATGGGCTAAATGGAATTCGAGATGAAACCGCAGGAAGTTCCTGACTAAGCGAATCTGCGGGGTGGCCAAAGATCGCCATGTTTCTATGAAAGGAAGGAACAGACAAAACAGGAAGGAGCAAAGCACCTAGGCAGCTTTCAATTGAAACGGAAGATAGAAGAGCTTCTAAATTGACATAAAGAGCTTCTAAATTGACATAAATTGCCTACGTCACAACTATAGACTATACTGCGCCTATACTGAAGACTATTCTGTACTGTCCCGGTAGTGCCCCGCTTGAATTGCTAAAGCTCATAGTAGCCCTAGGTCTATGTATTCACGTTGCTGGGCCGTTTGAGTTCCTTCTGTGATGGTTGTGGCATTAGGAGATATCAGGCGATCCTTGATATATTCCAAGGTTAATTCACAATACCGCAACAATCGATCTCTGGCAATCACAACTACACCGATTGATCTTCGCCGAATCAATAAGTCTACATAGGTATCTAAGCTACCCTTGTGTTTAGGATGTTGATGTAAAGGATATGGCACTTCGGGGCGATATCGGCCGCGTGGCTCTGGATAAGTGGGAGAGTGCACATCATCCAGGGATTGTAATTGCCCGAAAGAGCTCACTGGTGGAGAAGTGATGGCCAAAAGCTTGTATCACATGTCCTACCACCGGAGAGAAAGCTATTTGCACGGCTCGTTTCTAAGGCGAACATCTATCAGCTCCCAGGTTTCACTTAGACAATAACTATACGGATAGCCGGCAAGCCACTACATCACTACTGTCTCTGTTTTCTCTGTTTCTTAATATACGACAACAATCATGGCTCTTCCATCGGCAGCAACCAGCCTGCGGCGATCTCTGCAAGATCCCCAGGTATTCATCACAGCCCCAGGAGTCTACGACGGAATGTCCGCACGACTAGCACTGGCAGCAGGCTTCGACGCACTATACATGGTACGCAACGCAAGATGACCAAGGCATCCTCGTCAAAAGCCCCGAGTTGACACCAACCAGACAGGCGCCGGAACAGCAGCCTCAGTGCATGGCCAAGCAGACCTCGGAATCTGCACGCTGAACGACATGCGGGCGAACGCGGAGATGCTCGCAAATCTCTCACCGCGAACACCGCTGATCGCCGACGCCGACACCGGCTACGGCGGGCCGATCATGGTAGCCCGCACGACAGAACAATACGCACGGTCCGGCGTGGCGGCCTTCCATATCGAAGACCAGGTACAGACTAAGCGGTGCGGGCACCTCTCCGGCAAGCAGATCGTCGACACAAAGACCTACATCAGTCGCATCCGGGCGGCTGTGCAAGCGCGCCAGCGTATCGGCAGTGATATCGTGGTCATTGCGCGGACGGACTCGCTGCAGCAGCACGGCTATGAAGAGAGCTTGGCGCGGCTGCGGGCGGCGAGGGATGCGGGCGCGGACGTCGGGTTCTTAGAGGGTATCTCGTCGCGGGAAATGGCTCGTCAGGTTGTGGCTGATCTTGCGCCGTGGCCTTTGCTGTTGAATATGGTGGAACATGGGTCCACGCCTTCGATTTCTGCCAAGGAGGCGAAGGAGATGGGTTTCCGTATTATCATCTTCCCGCTTGCGACTTTGGGCCCGGCTCTTTTGGCTATGCGGGAGGGACTGGAGAAATTGAAGAGTGATGGCTTGCCTGGTCTTGACAAGGAGTTGACTCCTCAGATGTTGTTCAGGGTATGCGGGCTGGATGATAGCCTTGAGTTGGATGCGGCCGCTGGTGGTTTGGCGTTTGAGGGTGGCGTGGATATCGGAGATAAATGAACGGAATACCACCGCCTACCATACCCGGTACCGGAGTGAGATATTGTGCTGCGTGCACATTGGCAACTTCCCCTTAAGAGTATCGGCCTGGACTTATGTAGTACCGTCTCCACCAGTCGTATGACTCTATTTTCGCATTCAGCCACATTCATTAGTAGGAAGTAGCTGATTATTTTGAAGCGTTTCTCGAATTATCTGGGTCTAATTAAATCTACCACTCTGCCACTAAATTTTATATGTGGTTTTTCTTTGTGGTTAGGGTAATTTGACAGGTAGATTTAATTTCCTATGGCCAATAAGACAAATTGCAGATCGACCGAACCGAGGATCCTCCCGGGTCGACCTTGGTTTTGTTTATTTACCCCGAGATTTCTACTCCGTACGGTTTTTCTACATTACGGATTTTCAGAGTGAAGAAATTTAGAGTCCAAGTGTGTACATATGTATTCAAGGGTCGTGGGTACCTGCATTAAGTGAGGAGTCTGCCAGGGACTGGCTCCTGCACGAATTAGCCCTAATGTTTCAGGAAACGCCTGTGGCAACAAAATGTCCTTGGTGTACCGTAAATACCGACACAAAAATACACGATATAAGTACGATGCACTACTTCCTCCGTACACATATGGAGCCGTGGAAAGCCAAGCGCGCTGAAAGTTTCAATGAGTCTAAACAGATGAAACCGCTTCACGGCCAGCCCCAGTTTGCCGAGTTGGAAGGTCTGGATCCCCGAGGGGCCAGTATCTGCGTGCCATTATGGAGACAATCAGGAGACTCGTCATGTGGGTGGGGAAGGGCTGCCGGTGAATATATGAAGTGTGTGCCTTATAGAAAAATATCGAGGATATCCATCGGCCGTGTAGGGGGGTCTGGACGCAGATCAACGGCAGAAATTGACTTTTTTATGCGCATATCATTGGATACGATGGGCAGGGCGAGGACAATCCTTAGTAATTGCAACAAGAATTGTAATGTAAGAACTACGGAGTAGGCTTGAGTTGGGTAGGGACATAGATGTTAGTTGCCCATTGTCCACGTATTTGTACACGATGCGGTGATGAGTTGTCTCCGTTAAGATTGCCATGAGATTCGTAACACAGTTTAGATCCTTGCTGTGCCCTTCGCCGATTGGTTTATGTGGAGATTTCCGGACGACGGGGATATTAAAGTACATGCGTAAGTTTTTATGTACACGTATGTTATACAGAAACCTTGGTCATATTGACGCTTATAAGAGTATCAATGTTGGGCTCCTGGTGCAGTGCAGTAGTGAGTCATCTCATGTATATCGAGATGAATATCCAGCATTCCGATCACACACGTGTTTGGCATTAGGCAACTATACCACATAGAACACTATAAATCCCAATAATAGGACGCATAATAATAGAACGTACGGGCTCCGTATGCGAATTATATAGAAAACAATAACACAACATACTGAATAGGAGAAATCCCCCTATCCCAAGTCACGAATACCTGCACAGCCGCGATGGGAGGCATAGTATAGAGAAGTACCCAGTACCAAGGAAACAGAGTCTGGGCCTTGGGCAGCCAACCAATCAAATCACCCGAAACAACGCACGGCCAGGAACCGCCAGGAACCAGCCAATCATAAATGGCGTACCCCTGATATTTTGGAGCCTTTTCGGTTTTGGGTTCAGGTCCCAGCCTGACCCGTTAGTGTGTAACTTGGTATTGTACTAATAGTCCCTAGTCCCCCTGGTCCACTTTGTTCTCTTCTTCTCTCTTCACTCTCACACACTTTCATTTGAATTGAATTTTCTTCTCGTCGAGCGTCCTTTTTTCGCTCAAGTCACTCATTTTCAAGTTATTCAATTCCCAAGATGCATTTCTCTAACTCCATGCTGTTGATGACGGCGCTGACCGCTGGGTCGGCTGTCGCTCGTCTTCATGGCCACGACCGCCGTCACGCCCACCCCAGAGATGTCAACGCCGCAGTCCAGCCCGTTGTCACTGCTGCTCCCGAGGTTGCCAATGTCGATAAGCGTGGTGAGGAGATCTTCGCTACCATTGACGGCAAACTCGTCTCCTGGATCAACAACTGGTTCGGCGACGAGACCTCTGCTGCCTCCTCGGAGCCTGCTGAGGCCACCGAGTCTGTCGCTGCTGCCACTTCCACTGCTATTTCCTCCGCCGAGGCCACCTCAACCGCCAGCGCCACCGCTGTTGCCTCCAGCTCTTCCAGCTCCAGCTCCTCTAGCTCCTCCAGCTCTTCCTCCAGCTCCTCTTCCAGCACCTCCAGCTCTTCTAGCTCCAGCAACTGGGCCAGCTACCCCTCCGACGGCGTGTACTCCACCACCGGATTCGGTGCCTCCACTGCCAGCAAGCGCGTTGGCACCCTCGACTGGGACTACATCGGCAACGTCGGCAGCCCTTGGGGTAGCAACATCATCCGTGTCGAGGAGGACACCGCCAGCCAGTACAAGCACGTTATCCGATTCGAGAACGACAACGACAATGCCTGGACCGTCACCATGTGGAACTCGTACGGCCCCACCGGCGGTCTGAACGGTTTCTGGAGCCCCAACGCCGCTCTGACCTTCACCGTTGAGCCCGGCCACAGCACCTTCGTCGCCATCGATGACAACTCCCAGGGTGGTTGGGGTGCCGCCGAGGGCGAAGGTCTCCCTACCAACACCGTCGGCGAGTACGCCTCCACCTGGGGTGAATTCGACATGAGCAACACCCAGAACGACGGTTACTCCGGCTGGGATGTCTCCTGCATCATCGCTGAGCTTGCTGATCTCGAAATTGCTGGTATGCAGATTTGCAACCACGAGGGTGCGAAGTGCTCCTCCATCTCCAGTGGTGCTTCCAGCGTTATCAGCGCCTATACAGCCGCCGACCAGGGCAAGCCCGACAAGGCCGTTGCCCAGTCCGCTGGCCCCGTCCGTCTCGTTGTTAACCTGGGCTGGTCGTCTTAAATCGCCCAGGCTCTTTTTATTTTTTATTTTTTTCAGCATCCCATTTCTAACAATCTTCTCTTCTCTACCGAGATTTCGTCTTTCTTGCGCAAATGGTTCAACGCCGAAGGTGTCTTTGTATCTTTCCCCTGATTCGGTGTGTGCGTGCGCAGGTCGCTTGCCCCAGCAACCATCCTGGCCACACATCCTTCCACCTTCGAGCGGCTCT